CATGAATAAATCCGAAAAATGTTGGAAATGTCATCAGACACCTGGCTCATATTACCATATGTGGTGGACTTGTGCGGATGCTAAAAAATAGTGGACTAAAATCCACATGTGGTTGGAAAAAAATGACAAAAAAACATATAGACTTGAAACAAGAGATATTTTTATTGGGAATTTTACCTGAAATATAAAGACTTGAAATACCTGATTGTAAATGTATTAACAACGGCTAAGATTGTATTTGCTAAAAACTGGAAAAATGAGAAAATACCATCACAGGAGGAAATCATTAAGAAAATATTGGAATGTGCTGAAATGAGTAGATTGACATTTGAAATTAGAGAACAAGAGGATAAACAATTTTATAAAATTTGGGATCTTTTATCAATGGTTAGACAATAAAGTACAGTAATGAAATATGTAAACTTTTAGAAAATAATAAATATATAAAGATGTACTTCTTTCTTATATCTACAAAATGATTTTAGGATAGATTTGGGATGATAATATGAACTGTTATAAAACAAACTAAGTAAATTATGATTATCTTGTAAAACATGAATGAGTAAAAGTATAGTTAAATGATTGATTAATGATGATACTAAGGTATTTAATTTTTGATTGACAATATGATATTATATGTAATGTAATTGTAATTGAAGACTACGAAATGGAAGCACAAAACAATTTGTAAACCAACCGGCACACTGTATGTACACCTATGGAATATAGCTTGTTATGTTTTGTTTGTTTATGTTTGTTTTTAAAAACCAATAAAATTTTAATTTGTTTTTTAAAATCCCTGGGGTTATACCATTGTGGATGCTTCTCCAGATAAGGCATGCTTCCTGGGATCCTTTAGATATTGTTTCAAGGAACATTCTCACTTTGCTGGATCTGCCAGTGGGCAATTATAATGGGAGAAAGTGGATCCTCTGGGTAACCACACATGAAGGGTTTTATGGGTCACCACCAGCATCTCAAATTGCACACTGAAACTCACTAGCCATTTCAGCTCAAGCAACCTTTAGATATATTTTAGATAGACATAAGCGTCACATAAGGTTGCATTCTGGACCAATCACAGACTCCAAATGGTTCTCATAGATAATCCTTTATAGATGCATTGAAAAAGTCTAAATGTGAAGTGTTTAGGATATGAGTGACTGAGAGAAAGGATTCTGAGTCCAGGAGGAACAAAACTGGTGCAATAGGAGAATCTGGACAAAGGCCTTCCTGGTCACAACTGTCACTTGCTCTTTAAACAGGAGCAGGTAACCAAGGAGAACCCTACTTGCATATCAGTTCTGTGCAACACCATCTGGGATATGTCTGATCTTGAGAGAACTAAACATCCATAGCCTCTCCACCCCATGTAAAGTCAAATTAAAGCCTGTTCCTCTCTGTCTAGATCTTCAAAGTCTCAAAGCACTAGGACATAGTATTAGTAACAGTACTTGGTCAGTTCAGGTTTGAGATGTATGGCTGAGTATCATCAGCATACCAAACAAACAGGCGGGGTGCTGGCTATTGATCTCAGCAGTTTTATATAGCTGTTAAAACAGAGGTAAGAGATTCAACCCCTAGTGTGTCCCATGAGTAAAGGCCAAAGGCTTGACCTCTCCCTTTCCCCTAATATTAATGGAACTTACTTAAGAGAAAGGAAACCAACCCTGCTCCTGGCCACTACTCCTTATCCTCAAAGATCCCAGTCAATGGTACTGAAAGCAGATATCAAGGAAATCCAGGTCATCACCCCCTACATCACAATGTCCTTAGAAATTGTCCACAAGCACAAGCAGTGCTGTCTGTGTACTATGTTCCAACCTGCAAACTTACTTAACTGATAGATAAGCTTTCTTCATATAGACCAAGCTACCTGTTTCCCAAATGATTTCCCCCATTCCTTGCAGTCAGATGCACTCATTGGTCTCTTCCACATGACCAAATCAGTGTAATGTCCACTTCCTTGAGCCAAGAAAAAAATGGCATGAATCATGTTCCAATCCCTGTTGCCACATAACATTAACAAGGTCAAGGAACAGTCCTAACTAACTATACTTGCATAGCGCAAAGCATTAATAGATTCCACTGGACTCATTTTTCCTCCCACCAAACATTCCATCTGCTGGAAAATAAACACCAAACCCTAACACAGACTGGGCAAATTTGGAAAGATGCATCAAGTGATAACTTCAGTCATTTGATTAACATGGACAGGATGAAGTAGAAATGGTACTTCGGATGGTGCAATTTTTGTCCCATGTCTCTTACCTATTAGGCTATTTCTGAAGATGGGTATAGCAATTTTCTGAAAGAATGTTCAATAGCCTGGCCCACAAATAACAGGTGTAGAGAGTGTGTAGGATACAGCAGGAGGGAACAATCAATAAAAGGCTAGTCATCTATCGCCACCAAGGGAAGGATGGTGCTGTCAACAAATGTCGAGAAATGATGTCCACTTCCCTCTGACTAGGAGGAGGGAAGAAAGAGGGGGTGGGGATGGAGGGAGGGGGAGAAGGAGAGGGAAAGAGAGGCTGCATCTGCATTTTGCTGATTCCAAGACAACAATCCTAACAATTTTCAGCACTCTAGCTGCCTCTTCAGAGATAAACAATAATACAAGGATCAAAAAGAGCAGCCATAAAAATCCCTTTGTTGGCAGAAGCATCAGAAAACCTGAAATGAATCCAATGATGACAGAACTAGTAGCATACAATGGGCACCATCCAACTTTCTTTCTTAATTTAAAGTGATATTCTAATAGTACAAGCCTAGTATTCTTTCAAAGCAACAATAACCCCGTGTTTAAAAAAAGAAACAGGTCCAAAGCACTAAAGATTTGTTTATAAAATAAATCCTGACAAGGGTTAAATGGAAAGTGATGAGCAGGCATGACATGTGAAACAGTCTATGTGGAATCCAACTGTTGGTTTCTCCTGTTGTACAGTAATGGGCTGTGTGAAAATAACCTTGGGTAAACAGGAGGAAGAGCCGCAGCCTAGATAAGAGAAACCTTAATCCAAAAGAGGGATGAGTGTGGAAACATTATCTCAGATGGCACCCTACCTAGTTTTCTGGAGAGTAAAAATAAGTGAGGGGAGTGGTGCTTTCAGGTTTGCAAGATTCTGTCATGGTAACTTTACAATAAAAGTAGTGTTAATACTGGTACTTCTGATCTGAACTACCTCAAAGGGCTGACATCTGCAACTTCGTGTCAGAGGCCAGAGAGAATTGTGCCAAGCAACCAGACCTAAGAAGTGATGCCTAAAGGTGCAGGAGATAGATCCAAACTTTAATACCTACCAAATGATGTAAAATATGCCAGAACGTATCTGTAGAACAAGAAGTAAAACATGACTTGAAAATCAGAAGAGCTAAAAACAACTTTAAGCTTCTTTAGGGATGGACTGGATATGAGAAGAAAACCATTTTGCAAGAGTCAGTGAGTTTGTGTATGTTTGTGTGTGTGTTAGAGAGAGATTTAATGTATCACTTTTTTCTTCCTAAAATGCTCCTGGTTTTATTATATATGACCACTGACTGACTATGGACAGTTTGGAAATGTACTAATTAAATACGTGGTGAGCAGGACTAGGGGAGAAATGTAAACCTCTCCTTCCTGGCTCCTCTCTGTGACTTTTTATTCACACACATATTTAATTTTCCCAAAGACATTATGTTCCTTCTCCTTTTGTTCATTTGCATGACTTGATGTAGCACCAACTAGGAAAGTGAAGTAGAACGGAAGTGAATAGGTAGATGAAATGGATGTTTTGGATTGAAATCTGAATACAAGAAGAATTTGGAAGGCCAAGGCATAGGGTGCATTTCTTCAATATAGATCACTAGGATTTCTATTTCCAGTCCCAAAAACTTGATGGTGTGGATTGCATGCTTTTGGTCTTAATTCTTGTGTGAACCTAACCATTTGAGGTTGATTATGTCAATTGTTAGTTACTCTGGAGATTAATCCCTAACATATTTTGAATAAAACTAAAGGAACATAAAGATCACATTATATCCATTCTTGTTGTAGAGTAGAATGTACTATATTTTCATACTTATCTGTCTACATGAATAGAGGCTATAACTGTATTAATTATTGTCTTCCAAGAGGCCCCAGCCCAAGTCTGGACAGGCCAACCCTGTATTTTTTTTAAAACTTGCATGGCTAAGGGGAAAAAATCAATTTGGAAAATGGAAAGTTATCAAGAGCCGCTCCAATAGTTATAAAACTAGGATTAGAATAATGTAGAAAAAAGGTAGCAACCTTCTTTAGAGCAGCGGTTTCCAACCTTGGCAACTTTAAGCCTGGATGACTTCAACTCCCAGAATTCCCCAGCCGGTTGGGGAATTCTGGGAATTGAAGTCCGCAGGGCTTAAAGTTACTAAGGTTGCAGACCCCTGTTTCAGAGGATGGTAGTTCCCCACCCTGCCATCAATGAATGTCTCTGGATGGGGCAGCATTCTAGTTTGAATGATGGAGCTAGGTTGAGTGTCTTTTCCAAGCCTTCAGATTTGAGTTGGTTATTGTATATTATCAAATTTGGGACGGGAAGAACCAGATATAATTTTACTTGAAAACAAACTTGCCCTGTTACATTTTAAATACTATGTTTGAAAGGCAGGCTTTTGTTTCCAACGGTAAAAATATTCCCATCCCCTTCAATATAGGAAAGTAACCGTCGGCACACACCGGCCTGAAGGTAAAGGAGCACTGGACTCAAAAAAAGCTTTCTTTTGAGTACTGTAGTGTATGAAAGCATAAAATTGTACCGTGCCTCAAGTTATCTTGGAAAGCAGAGGGAAAAGGTAACGCTTGGACGGTTTTTCATTAAGTTTTGAACTTCCCTTTCGCAGCCAGCAAACGCAAAGGAAAGAGATCTTCACCGCTTTCTTTCAACCGGTGTGGGAGGAGGAGCGGGGACGGAAAATCAGCAGCCATCCAAGGAGCTCGGCAGCTGAACTGTGGAGGGAAGCGGCGGGTGTTCCCAACTTACCGCAGACTCCGGCGGCGACCAGAAGAAGCAGGCTAAAGACCAGAAGCGCAGGGGAAGCAAATTTGCCCATCCTGGTCCCAACTTAACAAAACTGTGGAGCGGAGTGGAGAAGTTTGTTTCCGAAGTTCTAGCAAGCCGCGTCGCCGAGAGGTCCGAATATCGGGCAGACGAAGCCAGAGAGAGGAAACAGCTGTCAGATGGGAGTCACGGAATGCCCTCGCCGGTGGCTGAGGTCGCAGCTTCATAGGATCCTTTTCTCCCCCCCCCCCAGAAAGAGGGGGGGGGGGGGGGGGGCTTGGCAGGGGAGGAGACGACCTCTGCCAGCCACTGCCATACACCCTTTATCCCTGGCAAAGATTTCCTCCCCCAGTGCCTAAATTCATTGGCCACCTTTCCCCCCCCTTTCTTTTTAGTGGCGGAATGTACCCTAAACTTCCCTATTCCTCCTGCGCCTAATTCCCTTACTACAGTGGAGCTACTGTAACAAAACTACGGGAATCAAACGTGAGAAAAACACCCCTCTCCTTTTAACCTACTTGACCCGCTGGGTTTAATGACAAATTTAAAGAAACAGCAGCAATCATCCCATTCAAACTGGCTCCAATTCCTAACCCCGAACTATTATTTCTTCTTCTTCTTCTTCTTCTTCTTCTTCTTCTTCTTCTTCTTCTTCCTCTTCCTCTTCCTCTTCCTCTTCCTCTTCTTCCTTTTCTTCCCCCTTCCTTGTTTTTTTTGGCGGGGGCGGGGTCGGTTCCTTGACCATCATCTTCAGAAATGGGAACTCTAGCCCTTGGGGGGAGAAAGTGAGAAAGAAGTTGAGAGAGGTGGTGGCATTCCCACCCCCCCCACCAAAAACCCCCCACACACAAACCACTACCTGCCTTTTACCCTTAAGCAAGTTATACCTTGGCCTTGCCCACTTTGGCATCATCCCCTACGAATGTACAAATGGCAAAAATCTCACAGAAGTATATAATCCTTGGAGAAATATTTACATAAATGCTCTTCTTTGAAGATGATTTTAGATGGGTTAGTTTGTATATCCACCTACAGCTTTGCATAACCCTCTCAAAACTTTCAATTTATCAAAGAATTTGTATAGCAATTATAGCTCTAGAGATAATTACAGAACAGATTTTAAGGGATCAAGAAGTATCAGATACAAACTCAGAGATTTGAGATGGTTGAATAAAGCATAGAATAGGTAAAGTGCTATGTGTAATGCTTTAAAAATTGCATCCTGCAGTTCTAATTTAGAAAAACTGGATTCCACTATCAATATAAACCATATAAACTACGTCAAATATAAACCTACTGTACAATTTTACTGGCTTCTTCTGCTTTTGTTAAACATGGGAAACAATGCACCCCTTATCCTCCTCTCCTTCTGATATTTCAGCAGACATTCCTCACAACTTTCCAAGTCAAGGCAAAGGGACTAGATGTTAACCAAGACTGAAGAAATTTAATTTGGAACTTACACAAGGGGATGTGGGAGGGGGCTAATATTTCATCATTTTTTTGGATGATGTCCTGAATATTTTTAACCTACATGCATGTTCATCCGAATGCAAGTAAAAATTCCTGGTGCTTGCTACCTACTTAATTAAATAAGATACACTCAACACACTATCAAAAGAAGGCATTAATGGAATGGGAAAATGATATGTCAGGAATCTCTTAGTAAAGGACTTCAAAACTGTCTGAAAGCATTTGAGCTTCTTTAATGTACAGGCAGATGAGTCACATGTAGCCTTTTGATCTCATTTGGTCTCTGTAGTTTTGCTGCCCTCTACCGTGCAAAAATAAAATCCTCATAGTCAAGCAAAGCCATTTTCCTAGCTTGTTTTTAAACATGCAACTGAAACTGAGGAAAATTGAATTGAAAGTAGACTTCCAGTTCTAATTCCCAACCTGAACATGTTTACAGCTATTCCAAAATCGTATCACTTGATTGCTTATACAGGACCAAGCTCCAAGCAGTAAAAGATTTTTTTATTCAACCTGTCTGCATTCTTGAAAGTATGTCTACACCCTTATATAGTATAGTATCTTTGGCAACAAGATCCATCAAAACAGGAGTCTCCTTGGGAGTGGAAGAGCTACTTGAGAGTTTAAGTTCTCCTTGTGAGCAGGACCATTTGGAATACAGTGAACTAATTACAGTTAAATCCTGGCTACGGAGACATGCATGAGAATTTATATTACAAACTCAGGGAGGAACTAAAGAAGTGGATTTATTGAAGGACTGTAGATTTTGTATATGACTCATTCCTTGAGGGCATTTGTTTCTTCCAAACTTCTTTTCTACCTCAGCATCATGTAAAAAGTGAAACTAAGGCCATTGCCTGTTGGCCCAACAAGATTCTCATCTCCATTATTTAGCATAATTTTCAACTATGCATTCTAACTGTGTCCACACCAGCATTAGATATATTGGAGTATGCTTTCCATTATAATTTCCCAGTATAACAATTTGTCCATGCAGAATTAGGATTGAATGAGATTTAGTCCAATGCAGAGGGGATTCACCAGGTGGTCTTTAGCTATTCTAGGTGTGATCTTACTGAGGCTTTATAAACTGGTATTAATATTAGTACCTCCCATACCTTGATTGTATCCAGGGGTGGGATTCTACCAGTTTGTACCTATTTGCTAGAGTTGTTAACATTCTAAGCAGTTCGGAGAACCAGTTGTTAGAAGAAATTACTGGCCTAATCCTGTAAGGAAGGCAGGAAGGAAACATTCTGGTGTTGCTTACAGGAACTGCCTCTCCGTTAACCCTTATTACATTCTTGGCAGGACTAGACTTCCTGTCTCAGGAACCTCTCTGGAGTTTTTCCCCCCTCCTTTGCTGGCACTTTGCTTGTGTGGAGTGACCATTCAAAGTTACAATGGCACTGAAAAAAGTGACTTATGACCATTTTTCACACTTACGACTGTTGCAGCATCCCCACAGTCTTGAGAGGCCAGGCGAGGAGATGCATGCCTCAATGTGAGTGATATTGAATTGGCCACACCCAGCCAATAACATGACCACCAAGCCATGTCCACCCAGTCACATGACCACCAAGCCACACCCACCACCTAAGCCACACACACAGAACCAGTTATTAAAAAATTTGAATTCCCCCCCCCCC